CAATGAAATAATGCAAAAAAATTTCTCTGAAACCGATGCAACTGAGCTACGGATTGGTAGGCGAAGCTGAACCGTTCCCTCTTTGTCCGTCTGCACTACCATTGGAGCTGGTTCCACTCGCCCAACACTATCTCGCTGAGAGAACGCAGATGAGCAGAGGAACGGCGGTGCTCAGTACCCATAGCATGTCGAATTTTGGGGATCCGCAGCAAGGGGGGGGGCGTATTTGGTCGCTGGAGGGCTAGAGGGAGGGGTAGTGTTTGCGGTTGTATTTGCTTCCAAGAAAATGTTTTTAGCCGCTTACTCTATTTTTTTCCGCTTTTCGGCATTTTTTTTTTGAAGCACACCAAAAAAAATTCGGGAAATGGATCTCGTCATGCCTTGCTCGTACCGCTTGGTTACGACCAATCACTTTACTATTGAAACTTTTGAGAACGGGTCTTGAAAAGGTTTTAAAAGGTTCATCCTTTGGAACCCTGTGGCTTGCTTCTGAAGCAGATTGATAGGTTCCTCCAGAAGATTTTCCGGCTGCAACTACGGAAGTCCCATTCCTTTTCCGCGGCTTTTCTTATCCGCTGTACTATTCCAATAATTTCCATTGATCTTATTGTTCTTGTGACTGCTACTCGGTAACGAAGGTTGCTCTCCTTTGTTCAGGACACTTCGACAAATTCCATCGGCAGGACAAAAGCCAAGGTTCACATTTACGCCAAAAGATAGTTCATACAGGTGACTGATTATATTCTTCATGTGTTTTTCTATTTCTTGATTCAGGAGTGATTCCACCCTTGTATTTTCCTGAATCTGCGATTGACTGATTGATCAGTTTACCCTTTAAGGCGCATTCCATAGTGGCTGCATGGGCGGGGTCACTTGTGCCACTGCGTTTCCCTGATTGGTTCACTTCCCCTTTATCATCTTGGAATTAGTTGTCTATCAATGAGAAGAGGACTTGTGCAAGTAGCTCCGCCCATTCGATCACGGCGAAATGTGCCTTTAAGGGCTTTTCTATAGTTTACAACACTGTCTTTCATCAACCAAGTTTCAGGGAAGGCACTGCTGTGAAACTGCACTGTGAAGTTATCGGTGAGCCTCGGCCCACCATTACATGGTATCATCGACGACAGGTAAGAATTTTGTAGCGCACTGTCAATTATTGGTGCAGTTCGGCCTGGAAGGGGGGCATTTTAGTTTCGATCAGTGACCGATGACTTCTTGTAGAAACCTGTAAAGCCTCTTGCAAGACCAACGCAAGAGCAACGAGCTTCGGTTTCGCGCTTAGAAAAGGTTTACAGGTTTTACCAGGTGCAGACTCAAGGTTCAACAAGGACTAAGTTTGAAAATAAAGAAACTAGCGAGCTATTAAATTTGCCGCCTCTTGCAAACCGTCAGGTCAACGACCTCGCAAAGCGAACCCAAATTAAATCTTACTCTAACTTCAGGCGCAATTCATCAAAACTCAAAGAGCCACGAGCTGTCCAACGCGAATCCGTTTCTTCAGTAGATCTACCCCTACTTGGAGAATGATGTCGGAAGGTTCGTTTCTATGTTAGGTGCAGTGAATAATTACTAATCGCTAGACAACTGCTAATCCCAGGCTCTATCAATGTAGGAAGGTTGGTGGGGAGAGACTCTCTCGATTCTGCGCCTCGATTTTTCCAGAGATTTACCCTTTCACGCGATTTTCCAAAGCACCAGAAATCTTAAGTTCACTATCCCTTGCAATCCAAAATGGCGTGGGAGCTGGACTGTGCATTTTGAAGCGCAGATAGGGAGTTTTTTCACCATTGATGCCATCCTGAGCCCGCAACAATTGGTTGAACTGGAGTGTGTTTGCACTGCCCTAGGCGGACTCTGATCAACACCCACACGCTCTCTCCTTTGCACGGATGATGACTATGCGACACGCTGAACACGTCAGCTCTCCCTTTGCATTCTCTAAGGCCCCCTTGGGCTCGAATGCCTAACACTTCTTACCGACAAACATCTCCGATGACATACATGATCAACCTCACCTCATTCTTAGACTGCTATATTGCGAAATAGAAATGTACTCGACTTTTCAGCTATACTTGCATGGCATCTAATATCCACGGCAGAATCGAACACTCTGCGCGGATTCACTTAGTGAGCAGGTTGGACTTTGGCATTTTTCGAGCCTCTGTTTCTACTGAAAATTAATTTGAATTGCAGTATACCACCGAATATTTACGATGGTCCTGCTCAGCAAACGGTGAAGCTGGGACAGCAGGTAGCAATCCTTTTCTGGTGTTTTATAGTCCCAAAGGTTATAGAAGTACATTCCGAAGTACATGCTGAGCCCTCTTACTAATCGCGTGCAATTGATTTCTTGGCAGTGAACATTGCCGGTGACATACATCTCCCACTACCCTCAAGGAGTTTTCCGAAAGCATTTCGGTGATACGGTTCAGCTTTCTGTGATCATAAAGAAATAGGAATAGGAGAAAGGAAACATTATGAGCTTTCTGATGCTGAGGTGTTTTGCAATATTTAGAGGCAAGAGGTGAATGGGTGGGGGAGGGGATAGCAGTCCCTTATTGTGTCATGGGAGGCATCGAGGCAGGAGGGGCGGTGCTGTCCAACAGGCTTCTACAAGTGACCTGCTATCGCAGCGCTCTTTGACCAATGAGCTGTAATCCACCCCCTTAACCTACGCTCCCATTGCCATCGATTATTTTCATTCAAACTGTTGGAATATTCCGTACACGTGGTTCAGGTCACGTTCATCTGCCGAGCTCGTGGTGTTCCCAAACCTGAAATCACCTGGTTCTACGAAGGATCGGTCATTCCTCACATCAAAGGACGTTTCATGGTGAGTGACTCCTTTCTGGCAATGACCAT